GGACGGACGGATGGATCGCAAGATGCTTCACCACCCTAATTATTCACTCCGTACATATGCTGTAATACTGTTTATTCATCCCTTGCGTGCCAAACAGCGTTTTGATTGTCGTTGACAAGTCCCGCTGAACGTTCATGCATATATATGGAAGACCAGTTGTGGCGAGCACGGCTGGACGGCCGTCGTGTTAGCCTAAGAAGCGAAGAGCGCTTCTAAGAAGCAATAAATCACGTCGTGGCGCAGCTGTGATCACATTAGGGTGTCTGCAGGAATGATCAAAACAGCTTTACAATGAAAAGCAGCGCAAGTTCAATGAGAGCAAGAAGAATCCATTCATTCGAGTGTAAAAAGTAATCCATAGACATAGAACGCGGCACTCTTCTGACCGCGCTTGCGGATCGCACAGCCATTTTTCTTTCTTTTTCACCAGTGCCCCTACCCCCCCATACTATAGAGCCCGCGGCGAACTACGAAGTATAGTTTCGAGCACATGCGGATCTCTTGCAGAAGCATCGCAATTTTAACTGCTCTAATATGGGCTGCACCAAACTACAGCAAAATAAAAACCCCATTTGAAAATAAAACGCCCCAGCATTGACTTTGCCTCTCGTACTCTTTACACGACATTTCCAAACAAACAATAAGCTGCATAGAAGCGCAAAACCATTTTTTTTTCTCGCCACATAGAAGCTTCGCCAGCAGTGCGGCAACTTTTGGGATGGATGGATGGATGGATTTACGGATGGATGGATGGATGGATGGATGGATGGATGGATGGATGGATGGATGGATGGATGGATGGATGGATGGATGGATGGATGGATGGATGGATGGATGGATCCGGCTGTGCCCTTTAGATCGCGCGGTGACTCACGCCATCTAGCCATAAAGTTAAGTACTATTTCTGTGTTTAAGGATTGAATTTCACTCGCGCCTCGATTGTAGCCACCAATTAGTTAGCCTCCTCCTGAATATTTCCACACGTTTAAAGTCTATTTTGCCTTCACTGTCCCTAAACCCGAGTGCTTTGAAAAATTCGGCGCCATTATCTTCGACTATAGGGTGGAGCCCTTTACTGAACAATATCAAACGTTCAGCCGTTTCCTCCTTCTCTCCACACGCACTACATACCATGTCTGTGCCTTCGTATTTTGCTCGGTACGTCTTGGTCCTCAATACTTCCGTTCTAGCCTCGAAGAGCAGAGAACTACCCCGAATATTATCGTAGATCTTTTCCCTTGCAATTTCCTGCTCAAAAGTTCGGTAGGTCTCCAGTGATGATTTTGTAAGCATTCCCATCTTCTACATGCCCCTCTCTGTTTCCTTCACCTTCTTAACCCATGTTTCCTTTTGACTCGGTATTCTGCTGTTGTCTAAATACTCGGATAACAATTTTCGAGTTCGTTTTCTCCATTTAGTATCGACATTCTTCATGTATAAGTAACTGAAAACTTTCCTAGCCCAGCGCTCCTCTCCCATTCGATGATGATTAAGATTATTTGCTGCTGTTCCGTTTTTAACGGGTGGGTGTACTTACAATATGTGAAGACACCCTAGCAAACATATATGAAAAATAAAAAGAAGAAGAAATAAAAAAGAGTAAGAAAAAATTGGCAGATCCCACGTACAGTGGGAATTGATGATATGCGAATCACAAATGAGAAATGTTGATATGTCACTTTAAAATCAGCACAACGTTACGAGGCTGAGTAAATGATGGCGTACATGACTTCCGTATCATGATTATCATGTCTGGATGTGTCGTTTACCTTCGTCATCTATTCACGTCACGTGATACCGAATTTAGAATATGTGGAGCTAGTGAAACGGCTGCGACCACGCTGTGAGCGTGGTATGTTGTCATGTTCTTACATAACACGCGTGTTAGGATTATCATGTTTGCACCTGTCGAATATTTCGTCATTCATTGACGTCACGTAACACCAAATTTGGTATATGTGGAGCTAGCAAAACGGCAGCGATCGCATCATGAAGGGTCTAATACACTCCAATGGAGCGTTGACGTGTGCGCACGCTGGGCACAGTGACGCTACGTTAGCAAAACGCGAGCACTCTATAGTCTGACGTCAGGCGCGACCAGCGTCCGTCGGCGCGGCCCGACGGGAACCGGCGCGAAATGCGACATGCTGCATTTCGCGCTGACGCGTTACCCAGACAACACTGCGTCTCCCTCTTTTCGTTACTGAGGAACGCCGCACACTCTGCAACGCGCATGCGTCAAGGCGACGCAGCGCGGCGCGCGCCTGCGAGTATATGCACGGAGGAAAAACCTTTCCTTCCTCCGTGGAGTATATATGACAGCAGCGGCGCCTGGCGTGGCAACGCCGGCGTGACGCAACGAAATGAACACCGGCGAGCACCTGCACCGCGACACGTCGAAATGTATTGGCGCCTTGATTGTGGCATGTAGTCATGTTCTCGCATGACACGCATCTCATGATTATCATGTTTCCACCAGTCACGTACCTTCGTCATCCATTGACGCCACGTAATACCGAATTTGGCATATGTGAAGCTAGAGCGAAACGGCCACGAGCACATCATAAGTGTGGCATGTAGTCATGTTGCTACATGACACACTTGTCGTGATTATCGTGTTTGGATGTGTCATTTACCTATGTCGTCCGTTCGCGTCGCGTAATATCGAGTTTGGTACACGTTAAGCTATCGAAACGGTCATGAGCGCATCATGAGCATAGCATGTAGTCATGTTACATGACACGCATCTAATATTTATTATATTTGCTCCAGTATCATGCCTTCGTCATCCATTCACGCCTCGTAATACAAAATTTGGTAAAAGGGAAGCTAGGGTAACGGCCACCAGCGCATCATGACCGTGGCAGGTAGTCATGTTGTTACATGACACGCATGTCATAATTTTCATGTTAGGGTCTGTCGCTTGTGTTCGGCATGCAATCATGTCATACCTTGCCAGTTTCGCAACATGTGATTGTCCGTGCATCAATCCACCCATCCGTGCGTGCGTCTGTTCGTGCGTCCGCACGTCCATCTGTGCGTCCGTCCCTGTGTTTGTTCATGCGTCCACCCCTGCGTCCGTCCATGCGTCCATCCCTCTGTGCAGCCATCCGTGCGTCCGTCCATGCATCTCTCTGTGTGTCCATTCGTCCATCTATTCAACACTCAAAGTACCACCATCTCGCATCTTTTCATCATATATTCCCCACATAGAAGCACCGCCATCCAGAGGACATTCCAAAAACTAAACGAGAGGTGACACGCGCACACTTTCTTACGGCTTGTGCTTCGTGCCTACTTCCCACCTCGAATTCATGGTATATACTAGTTCACTGTATTCATGGCACAGCGGCCCAACGTTCGCTAAACCTTTCTAAAACCAAGGAGGTTACGCCCAGCGAGTATAAAGTAGCAACCCTTTCTTGTCAGATAGTGCTCAATGTACGTGCCAATGGCTGCTAAGGGGGAATGAGAGACAGGAGAATTCGGCTTTTAATTTCTTACGACTTGCGCTTCGTATCTACTTCCTACCTTTAACCACCTCGAGTTCATGGTACATACTAGTTCACTGTATTCATGGCACTGCGCCTCAACGCTCGCTAAACCTTTCTAAAACCAAGAAGATTACGCCCAGCGAGTATAACGTAGCAATTCTTTCTTGTCAGATAGTGCTCAATGTCGCTTCTCAAATTTTATCTTGCTGCTAGCTTCCCTGCCCTCAAATGATGTCTATCCCATATCACCTTGTACTCCTTGATTTGGTGTATTCCCGTGAGCTCCTAAAGCAAGCCTACCTATTCCACGTTGCTTAATTTCTAATCTTGCTTGAACTTCTGACCTCATGCACAAGACCGCATTGCCGAACGTCAGCCCAGGAACCATGACCCCTTTCTATATTCCTCTCACAACATCATACCTATTGTAATTCTACAGTGCCCTATTTTTCATCACTGCTGCATTCCTGTTACCTTTAGCCGTCACGTATATTTCGTGTTCCCTTAGGTACTCGATCCCATTGTTTATCCATACGCCCAGATATTTGTATTTATCTGTTATCTCTAGCGTGACCTCCTGAATTCGAATCTCACTACCTTCATTGTCATTAAAAATCATGACTGCTGATTTTTCCTTACTGAATCTGAAGTCTGAACTATCTCACTCATTACCGCAGATGTCCACCAATCTCTGCAAATCTTCCTTGTTGTCGGCCATTAGCACTATATCATCTGCGTACATTAATGCTGGTAGTGCCTGATCAAAGAGTTTTCCTTGTCTGACTAAAGAGAGGTTGAAGGCAAGTCCACTTCCCTCTAATTTGGCCTCTAATCCTTGTAGGTACATCATGAATAACAAGGGTGACAGTGGACACCCCTGCCTAAGTCCCCGTTTCACCTCTGTGGGCTTGAATACCTGTTTTTCCCACTTTATAACTACCTTGTTACTTTTATAGATTTCCTTTAAAAGATTAGTGACTCCATTTTCCACACCCTGCGTGTCTAGTATTCCCCACCTTAGACACTAGCGCCAGAGTCTCTCTAGTGTATATTAAGAAACCCTATGCCTTCTAGTACACTGTAGCGCGGGAGTCCTATTCGACGAAAAGAAAGAGCGGTGCGGAGACAAGAGAGGGCCGTGCCCACCTCTGGAAACAAACACGCACTCTCCGTGCGATTTTCCACCGTGATTGGGACGAACGACCAATGAAAAACCCGCCACGCGCCCAAAATCTCAAAGGCCATAAAAGTGGCAACATGGCCGTCAATGAAACAATATATAAAAGCATAAAACATATTTTTTACCTAATTTGTAAAGTTTTTTTTCCTTAATTAACTCACTTAAGTTATTTTATTTACGCCTAAATAACAGTTTTTCTTAAAGTACCATTACAGATCTTAAAGGCCAAAATTTTGCCAAAAAAGAAATAAATTGACGTCATGGTCGCTATTTTTTGAAGCTGTTTTTTTTTTACATACTGGCCGCAATTGGCGCTGCAAGCGCAAGACAGATGTCGTGTCGTGTGCGATCGCAATATCAGCGGGCACTTCACCGAATTCTTGAAATGGTGCGCTTTCACGTTTTATGAAACTTTGCGGAAAGTGCTGGTTCTCCACATTTTTATCCTCAAGGCCAGTTAGTTTGGCAGGCGTGCGTGTTTTACGTGATCAACTCGTTAACGTAAGCATGTTTCTACATCCCTGTGTTAGGTGCTCGGTGGACCTCGTGCACAGTCATGTCGAAATGCGGACGACATGAAGAGCGCCCGATTATTTGTTGTACGTATTTGTACTTGAAGAAAACGCCTGATTTTGTACACATCTGCAAGCATGGAGGATCCGGAAATCCTTACGATAGAATGGGAAATGATGGACAAATCACGATTCTTCATGTTCAGCATAATCAACTCGTTCACCTTGCGTTGCCTGGTGTACCCTTTGACGGTCATCAAAACGCGACTGCAAGTCCAAAAGCCGGGAAAGCTTTATACCGGTACGTTTGACGCCTGCTCGAAAATTCTGCGCTACGAAGGCTTCGGAGGTTTGTACAGAGGCTTTTGGATTAACACAATACAGATGTTCTCGGGCATCGGCTATATCTTCACGTATGAAAAAGTACGGGACATGCTTTCTCGACACGCCGACATACACGACCGGCGTTTAAAGGGACTTATAGCTGGTGGTTGCAGTTCTCTAGTGAGTCAGACTATTATCACGCCCTTCGACGTCGTCTCCCAGCACATGATGGTCTTGGGCCGGTCGAGCAAAAGCGGTGGCACGGTCATGAACCCGCTTAACATCAGCGTCGACCTGAAAAGGAAGCACCTTATTTCTGCGGCCATCGTTCGCGAATTGTACCGAAGAGATGGCATCAGGGGCTTTTACCGAGGGTACTTCGCATCACTGCTCGCTTATGTGCCCGGCAGTGCGCTATGGTGGATGTTCTATCCGGCCTACACCGACGGGCTGCGGCGCGTTCTGCCTGGCTGGACTCCTCAAATGTTTGTGCAGTGTATGGCAGGACCCCTGAGCGGTATCACCGTATGCCTCATCACCAACCCGATGGATGTTGTGCGAGCCCGCATCCAAGTGCAGCGCATGAATTCGGTCACGCAAACATTTTGGCAGCTCTGGACGGAAGAACGTTTGCGCATGTTCCAGATAGGCCTGTCGGCTCGCGTAATGCAGAGTGTAATCAGCTCCTTTCTGCTTGCCCTGGGCTACGAAACGCTCAAGCGGTGGAGCGTACATGATGAATACAAGGACAAGATTCGGTGGTAGTTCACCGCAAGCTTGTCGCAAATTTCCCATAAGGGACTCCTCGCTGGATACGTGCTTGTATATGATCGCGTTTAATTTGAGCGCCAACGAATTGTAGCGCGGATTGATTTCTTTATCTATAAATGATAGAGCAAACAAAATGAGGATTATTTATGGAGTGCTTCAGTTGCTCATGTCATGTCGCGACACGATGTAGTGGCAGAGAAGCCTTGCATGTTTTACGTGTATCCTTTCTGCCCCTTAACTTAGCCCAATTTCAGTTTGCCCCTGAAAGTGAGAGATCCGTTTTTATGAAGAGTACCTTGAAGAGTACCCGACTTAGTATTTTTCCTGTGTTAAGTGGAAGTGTCTTCTTCTTTTCTTCCTTACTACAGTCATTCCATGCAGTCAATTTATCTGCAAAGCAGGCCAGATATTGAACAGTGCAGCACATTGCCACAGCTATGCGTCAGTGAAAAATTTCATTAACATATGAATTAAAATGCGTAAATTTCTAGTCCATAGGTTCATAAGAGCCCTCAAAGTTCTTCTATGTGCTAGTCATTTTCAGATATGCAGCCATGAAACGTAATGCCCAAGAAAATGATAGCAAAAAGTGCATGTGACATACATGTACCCTGCAGATTTTTTGTTCACTCCTTGAGGCTTCAACACTTCCAAGCTCGCAGACTGTGACACGTTTTTAAAGGGGCCAACTGCCCAGAACATAAAATGAGATGACTCCACTGACAAAAAGATTGTCAGTCGCAGTGATACAAACCAACCCAGTTTTTTTTCATGAGAGGTGGATTTATATCTTTATTTCTTCATTGAAAGTAGCGAAAAATGACGCACCTCAGGTGGCAAAAACGCAGACGATCTGATGTCCCCAGCAACGTGATCAGTGATTGCTGTAAGCGGTCTAAAAATTTTTTTAGAACTGAAATATTGTTCCTTTCTTCATAGTAAGTATAAAGATGTTACTGCACAGAAATGTACAAATAGACGTGTGCTAATAGTATGCATTGAAGTGGTGCTGCCCCTAGTGTGACGTAATGATCCCATGCTAGTTAGAACGTCTTGAGCAACTTTTCGGCGTGCTCATGCAACTTTGTACACAGTTTCCAGGTCGCTAATATTTTTGGTGACATAGTTTTTGTACCTGCGCTTCACCTCAAAATGATGCGCACTGCTACCCGGCGCAGCTGTGTATATGCACCGTGAAGTTTTCTATGACTTGGCTCGGCTCGTGTATTGATTTAGTAACCATGTCGAGACAAGCCACCCATGACACAGGCGCAAGCAATGTGGTACAAATACAAAAAAGGTGTGTTATGTGACCTCATGTCATTGTAATCGTTTGTTATTTTCAAAAATAGTTAACCTCAAAATAAAGGTGGTTAAGCATAGTTACAGGAACTCCTGCAAAAGCAGAAAGACAGCTTTAATAATAGCAAAAAGGGCTGTCAGCATCGCGGTTAATTGTCAGCACTGCTGGATGAAAGGTACATTTGTGTTTAGAGCCTTCCAGATTGAAAAATACTGCTTGTAAAATAACTACGTGCTTTTGGGATTAACTACTGCCGCTACAAACGTACAAAGGGTGACCTTTCTGCCGCATTGTAAAGAAATGATTGGGAAAAAATCTGTTGTCAGTCCCTTTAAATTCTCTCTCCACAGTTGTGTTTTTATATTTGCTGAATGGTGAGTGATATAAACTTGTTGCAACATTGTGACACTGATCAGGTATAAAATTGCACTGCATTTATGAGGCCAGCTTTAGTATATGTAATTCACAAGAATAAAAAAAAAATGACTAGGAATAGCTAATCAAAACATTCAAGACATGTTTCAGGCTGTGTGCTGCATTTTAAGTTTATAAATGGCAAAATATAAGAATGCAGCTGTTAAGGTATTGTGAAAAATAAGACAAACTGAACTTTTACATCAATAAATATATATTTTTTTATTACAAAAGAACTAAAGCAGCGTAGACCAAAGGTATAAAATAGTCTGCAAGTGTGAACAGCAAGATGGAGAAGGGGAGAGAAATTTCATTGCACAGTTCAGCGCAGTGACAGAAGCTCTTTGTTTGCAATGTTTACTATTGTGTTGAAGTCCACATCCAGGAAGCCCCTCCAAAACCGGCGCACTCTTCCCCATACTTGTGCCGGAAAACATGGGCTCCCAATGCCATGAAATATACGCGCCACCGCTCGACCATTGAACGAGTGGTCCCTGTGTTGCATCACGAGGTTTCGAATTTCCTGTCGAAGCTGGTTTAAGCATCGCTCCTGTTGGAAAGGAAAGGGCAAAGTGCTGAAATAGTGTGCCTGATACCGAACTATATTCAAGGCTGCAGTATTGTGATACTTCAACTCTGGACCCATAGTGTACCACAGTGTTTGTTGGCTGCTTTGAGATACACTGTTTTCTTCTTTCATATTCTTGTTCACTCATAACACATTGCCGTAGGTTTGCTCGCACACTACAAATTAGCACAAACCTGTACAAGTACTGTGTTTCACAATGTGCCACTGGAATGAAAGCTCTGTGGCCTGATCGCCAGATGAAAAGTGAGCAGACAACATTGTGATGTTGGTGGACACATACACGATTACTTTTTCTCACACAAGCAGCAGCTTCCTCACCAGAGTGATAGTATTGTGAAATAGAGTGTACACATCAGCATACTATTAGATATACCTTGTTCTCACCTGACCACACCAGTTAAAAGGGCCTTAAAACACTTTTTTGAGTAACCATAAAATTAATTCACGGGGAGAGATTGTTGCCTCACAAATTCAACGAGCGAAAATTCTAAGAATCCGTCGAGTACGAGCGGAGTTACAAAGATTTGTTGCACGATGGAATTGCATTTTCTCGTCCCGACGAAAGCGCTGGAAGCTCATGCGCACCTCGTGACCTTGAGCACTTTTTTTCTTTTTTTTATTCTTTGAATATGCGGCCTTTTCAGGGCGATTGGGCGCGCACGCGTGCACAAGTGACGGCCTTTAGCGGCGATCTCTGTAACGACTGAGCGCGCCATGTTCAAATCAGTCAATGGCTCATAGATGGGCATTCTACGAGTGATTTTTGAGCGCCTTCCGTCATTTGTCGAGGGAAAAGAAAGCAATTTTTAGCTGACTTTGATCATTTATTCTGAATTCCAGGCCGTGTGCTGTGCTATAACGTTTGGCTCGTGTGTTCTCGGGAGCCTCTACCACTGATTGGCACCGTTTTCTGACCATGCTCAAAAAGTGTTGCAGGGCCCGTTTAAGATAGAAGTGCTGTAATAAATTTTCCATCATGCTACCTTTAATGCTGTATCATTATGCACACCTAACAGTTTCTAATCATTTAATCAATATGCTTTGATAACTCAAGCCTACATAGAAAAAAAAAAAGAGTTGCTGATTGTACTAATGGCGTTTGAGACTAGGAAGATAAGAAGGTCTGCTGGCATACTTAATGAACAAGCTTAAAATTTATCGTAAATAAAACCATCATAAACATACCCTACTCCAGAAGCTTCGTGCTAGTAATTATTTATGCACATGTTAGAGATTACGTCTGGTTTGCTTGCCGCATGAAAAAAGTATAAATTGTTCAACTGTTGTTGCCAACAGTGGAGCAATTTAGATAGAATCTTTAATATTTTAACATGCTTTTTTATGTGAGCACAAGGTTTGGAAGTTCTACTTACAGTCTGTGGAGGCTCTTCATCATCATGGTCCAGGGCTAACTTTTCATCAAAGTAATCTTGAATCAGTTTCTTCAGTGAATTGCTTTTTTCTATGCTTGCAGTCTCCGCACATTCAGTACACACTTCACAAGATGCACTGTAGAATGGAAAAATGCCACAAGTGTCTTGATGCAACTCTGAAATACTTCTTGAATGTAGTCTTATCTGACAGACAAAAAAAAAACAGCTGCTCTTGTGCAGACTTGGATACAAGCACTTCAACCAAGCAATACACAGTCAAGTACTGCTCTCTCGGTGCATCACTTTCTGCATAAAATTTCAGTATTGTTAAGCACTTGTGTTTTTAAATGCAGGCATGATGAAACTAAAGAAAGTTTTTGTGAAGGTTTCCAGTCACTAGCTACTTCACATAAGATAATGCGAGCTTAAATATCAGCATTACACTTTTTTATTCGTGAATAAGCCATGTGTTTAGCATCATTGTAAAGAAATCTTGTCTTTTAAAAATGTGACAGTGCACACAGCCGAGGACAAAAGAAGAAAAGGCAAAACAGTGTTGTGTCTTGCATTTTCATCTTGTATGTGTGTTTTTATACAAACTGATTGATTGATTAATTGATATGTGGGGTTTAACGTCCCAAAACCACCATATGATTATGAGAGACGCCGTAGTGGAGGGCTCCAGAAATTTCGACCACCTGGGGTTCTTTAACAGGCACCCAAAATTGAGCACACGGGCCTACAACATTTCCGCTTCCATCGGAAATGCAGCCGCCGCAGCCGGGACTTGATCCCGCGACCTGTGGGTCAGCAGCTGAGTACCTTACCCACTTGACCACCGCGGCGGGGAGTTTTTTTTTTTTTTTTATACAAACTATACTCGGAAACAACTTATCCTGACATTGGAGCAAAGGCTACGGAGGTGTAGCTTTTGCACATTCATGTTGCTCGGTAAGTATTTTGGCAGCTTGCGGCTGATTTTGGTTTTGCACCCTTGTATCGTTGATGCGTTCAGAATATTATAAACATGAAAATGTGAATGGGAGAGTTTGACGGTTCAGTGCACATTTTTGTGCCACATTAAGAGTATATATTTTTCTGGAAGAAGTAAATAGTGCGCTATTTATTAAAGTGGTGAGTTGGGCTTGTTTGTACATTACTCTGGTGCACTATTGCACCCCAAAAAAAAAACAACACTCATCATTTGTTGTTTGTGTTCCATTCCTTGTATGTTTTTTGGCACTTAGTGCACCAGACCTGACTTACTACGCCATGGATGCCACATTTACTTGGGAATTGGATGTGCTGAAAAGGTAGTGCTCTCTAAAAAGTGGAAAGAAAAGAAAGGCATTCTTAAAAAACGAACAATAACTGCATTTTACCTTTGACTTCCAGCATTTCGAGCCTCATAATAAATAAAGCAGCCTTTATTTCTTGCAAGGCAAAATGAACAGATTATAAATAAACTTAAGTACTATTTCTAGGCAGAGTAGCAGCCATGCGCTTCTGTTCTGTAGCTTCCACAGCGCTGTCAAGAAAATTTATCGCCGAATGTAGCCCAGCAACTCATCAATGTGAAATCTTGGTGATGCCCAGAATACTCTGTTTGTAAAATAATACCATGCGCAAGTACAGGATAACTGTACTGTTATGGCAAATATTGATGATTAACAATTCTACAAAACCAGTTTACTACTTTTAACTGTAACACATAATGTACACCCGGTTTTTTAAATCGCATCCCCACCACATCTTTGGCTAAACCAAAGTTAATGTGGATTGCGGTACAAGTGAAGAAGCAGCTTCTGAGCAACAAGCAGTTCTCAGGCAAAATGAGATATGACATTAAAGGAGACTCAAAGGAGCTTCACTAGAACTGCAGAGCATTACCTCTGAAAGGCTTCTTGTACTTTTTTAAGACGGGCAATGTCCAGCTTCTCTTGCTTTCGTACTCTTTCATAGAGGTAATCCAGCAAATGATCACAGTCCTCTTCAGTGAGAGCGGCCGAAACATTCAGGTGGAAGGCGAGGTCCGAAAACTCCACGATGACGCCTGATTTGCGAGAGTATCCCGTTGCTGTGGAAATGTGGCATCACCAAGCAACGATTGGTACAGGGTACAAGAGACTGCTGTTTTCTGTCACGGTCACTCACCATGAAGCACAGTGTTGTCATACTCTAGTGTCTTTAAATCTCTCTTAACCAGCTTCGAATCCCAGCCCATATATGCAGCCACATCCACAACAGGGAATGACAGTGTGTTAACAGGCTGTTGGTCACACTTCTCTTGCAGTGCCACTGCCGCTGCCACTGCTGCGTTCTGAAAGTGGTAAAATGGCAACTGCTGTTTACAGCATGCACTCTTGTGAAACTGTGCACCTTAGGTTGCGTAAAAAATAAAGTTAATGTGTCCAAGGGCTAAATCTGTGATGATTAATATAATGAATGAAATTGATGAGTGAAATCATTGAGCAAAGAAAAAAATGCTGGCAAGATTTCACTGGAAATAGGTTGCGCACATCAATTTAAACTAAATACAGTAAATTTACAATCAACCTTTGTGAGTGACATTGATGGAATTCTGTAACAATGTGGAATGACTTAGTGAGGCATTGCTAGAGAATTATTTCTAGCCTAACAAACATGGCAAGCCTCTTAAATGCCCTAGTGATGTCTTGGTTTAACATAAAAAAATAATGGGGCCCATTTGCCAGTGAATATATCCTGAACATAAATTGAAAATGGAAATTTTAAGGAAAATCTTTGTGGACTGTGGAAGTGCTTTCTTTAGTTCCATCAAAAAATAGGAAATAGAACGAGGAAATGTTTCCGTTGTGGAGTTGCTCAACAATGCAGAATGTGGTCTTTAGAATCTTTGTAAATGGGTTAATTTTTGCTGATGCAGGTATTTGACAGTATGTTCTCTACTGGAAAGAGTGTGTCTGCAAATTTTGAAGGGGCCCGGTGACACAAATTAAGCCTGCCATTTTTATCACTTTTTCTTGAACTGTGGAATGCACTGATATCATTGTGCAAGTGGCAACACTAGAAACAAAACTGTTACAATTTTATTTAAACGGAGAAATCACATTGTTTTCGAGCTAGTGATGCACAATGGCTATTTTTGTGATAGGAAGCGCCACATTGGCCGGTCATTTTGATTAGTTTGACACCAAAAGTCGCACGTAATATGCATACGGTTTTGGAAAACTTGAAAACAATTGCAAAACGACGCTAGATGCACTGCAGAATGGCCACCATCAAGAGAATCGTCTGATGTGTCTCTGTAAGAGGCACTCAGAGATTCTGCTGACCCGCAGGTCGCGGGTTCGATTCCCGGCTGCGGCGGCTGCATTTCCGATGGAGGCGGAAATGTTGTAGGCCCGTGTACTCAGATTTGGGTGCACGTTAAAGAACCCCAGGTGGTCAAAATTTCCGGAGCCCTCCACTACGGCGTCTCTCATAATCAAATGGTGGTTTTGGGACGTTAAACCCCACAAATCAATCAATCACTCAGAGATTGGAACTAGCTTTTGATATCAGTGGGAGAGTGCAATGCGAATGGGAACATTTTTTCCCATCGTCTACTGAGGTTTTTAACTTTGAAGGCTAATGTAATGACTTTTGTTACAGTGAATCGATTTCAATTATTCTTTTTACATTGATCTCAGTATTCAGCACTACACGCACTCAAGCGTTGCAGGGCACCTTTATTACCATGACTCTAATTCCTAGGAAAATATGATGCATTTCTTGAAAACATTGTGCTCCTATAAACCTTGTTGAAAACAGTACTGTATAAGCACTCGCTTGCTCTCAGAAGTGTTTTGAGGTGCATGCTTTGTCCACTGGATTTTCTATAATGCTTCCAAATCAAACAAAAAGTTGTAAAGTGGAGAATATATCGGTACACACTGCCATATGCCGTTGGTCCTTCCATGATTGATTTGATTTGTGGGGTTTAACGTCCCAAAACCACCATTTGATTATGAGAGACGCCGTAGTGGAGGGCTCCGGAAATTTTGACCACCTGGGGTTCTTTAACGTGCACCCAAATCTGAGTACACGGGCCTACAACATTTCCGCCTCCATCGGAAATGCAGCCGCCGCAGCCGGGAATCGAACCCGCGACCTGCGGGTCAGCAGCCGAGTACCTTAGCCACTAGACCACCGCGGCGGGGCGCCGTTGGTCCTTCCAGGCCAAGATGTACTACTAACCAGTGCTAAATTACAAAGGTCTCTAGAAAAGTTTTGAGATCGACAGAAATAAAGATTGAAATCCTAAACTGCATCATGCTTGTTCTTGTGCACAACTTAATTTCAACAGTAGCAACATTTTTTGCCCTCATTGCATTCACCTAATGCCTAGTCCCTTTGTCTTTTAGGGAAAGTTCATGGTTGCGAAGTTTTTGACATTAGCGGACAACTGCTGCACAAGAACGTACAATGACCCTGAGAGCCTGCTGCAAGATCTGTGGGATCTCAGTTTCATTTTACATAATGAAACATGAAATAACACAGCATGAAAATTGTCCCCCTTCCAGCTTGATTACAGAAAGCAACACTGCCAAGCAGGCAGCAACAAATGCACCCCTGTATGACTCAGCATTAAGACCTTTCTGGAAAGATCACAAGGGTGGTGCTATTGAACATGCTTCTAGTTTGCCTGCTTCATTACATAGCCTATCTTGCTATGGCATAGCATAAACAAAGCGAATGTATTGACTAAAAATGTGCCTTGTACTGTAAACAGGACCTTGTATCTAATTGGTTGCATGTTAAAAAGGCTAGGGCAAAACTGTTGGAAATACCTACTTTTTTCCCCCTTTGAACAATGGGCATTGAGGTTGGCTCTTCTGGTTTTTGTACCAAATGACGAAAAGCTAAACCAATGTCCACCAAGTACTGATGGTGAATAGCACATATATATGAGAGAAAACATTTCTTTTTCTTTCATATATATGCGCTATTCATATATAATATATAAGAACAGCAAAGTATACCGTATTTTAGAATAAGCTTGCTCATGATGTTGTGCCCATCATTGAGATGCAGACATTAAGCAAGCAACTGCCTTTACAAATGTAAAGCATACGTGTACACACACACACATGCACCTCACTCTCTTCATTTACAGTATGGACTAATATTCTGAACACTCCGAACACAGATGTTTCTGCGTATAGCCTCTAGCAAAATGCAGCTGCACCAACCGGACATCCAACTTGCGACAACAAAAAGTAAACTAACATTGTCTGAAACTTGTAGAGCGAGAAAAAGTACTAGTAAAAAATTGTATAAATATGTGACATTTTATGAGTTAGGTTTATAAGAATATTTAACTTTGTTTTGAATATAAACCTTGCTTCCTTCTCTCCACAACGGCAGTTACGTCTCTGGTTATTGAACTTCTGAGCAAGGGGGCCGATCTTGAACCCCCTGATATTAACGTCCTCAAATGTTTGCGGTATATATACAGGTTGAAGAGAAAAAAAATAAAAATGTTTGTGCAAAGATAATTTTTTTCGTGGCTAGGCCGATAAAGCATTTCTTTCCTACTACATGTTTGCGTATCTATTTCACTAATACAAGCACGCTGTCGAAATGGGCCTTTTCCGGGAGGTAAACTGTGTATGCGCATGATTTTTGGTGGCCGTAAAGCGACGTGCCTTGGTCCATAAGGACCAAGGGACTTCTGTGGTGTCACAGACATGTTACAAAAGTTTGTGTCCCTCCCCGCCCTTAGAAAAAAAAAACGCTGATGCAGGCCTCCGCCATTGTCTACTGGCTGGCGCGTGGCTGGCAATTTCGAAGGCTAAGGGCCAACAGTTTCGATTTCGACGATCTTCACTGGAGGTGCTGTTCGAACTGAAAAAGGGTGATCACTGAAAATTTCTTGAGGGCTCAGTGATGCTTTCTTTGCTGATCGCGTGGAACATTGTACCAGCTATTGCATACAATGTCAAATTGAGAAAAAAAATCATGACATATCCAAGAAGTGAACGATGTTGAGTGGGCAGAACGATGGGTGAGTTACGGCGAGACCGTAACTCACCCGTGACATTGACCACTCATGCATGTGAATGAGTGCCAAGTGGTGTACAGTTATATACAATGTTTATTAGTCATAGCAGGTGTGCTGCGTTGAGTGTAAATTTTGTTCTGCCTTCATTATTACTGCTTTGTGGTATCGGATCTAGCCTCAAGTTGACGAACACGGCGATGGGCACGTTGACCTGGTGGTTGCTGATTGTTTTCAGTCATACAGAAGGCATTGTAGAGGATATTGAAACGTCATCTACGTCATTGAGACATCATTTTTTTGGCAGTTTCATAATACAGTTAAACTATCAATGAAATAGCCAAAGATGGCCTAAAGTTGCTTTGAAAGTCACGCTGTAGTAACTATGATAGGTTCTTCAAATTATGGTCACAGCTGAGAAGTGCTTCTATCTAATTTTCAAAAAATACCCTACGCCAAGGTAGAAATGGCCCTGCTTTACACTACACTATTTGTTTAGTACCCTACATTTTACCCTAAACATGTACATAGCCCCGTGATAACGTGCTATTTCTATGTAGTGTAATGATAATGTACAGATAAAGTACATTCTCCATGTTCAGACGTTTGGGGTGCCTCCAAGATCGGCCAAACTATGACAATGACATCTGATGACATCATTCTAGGTCACATTGTGATGCCACAGTGACGCCACAATGACTTGATGATGACATAAAAAATTCTGGCGATATGTCATGCCACAATAACATCATGACGTGGCATTGTTATATGATGATCTTTTGCAACACTCTCAGTAATGCCGACCATCACTTATGTTATGATGGGGCATTTAATGCTTTCGCCTTATTAAATGAAGCTGACCACAGCAACAAAATTTAAAAGCCCCATCATGCAACTAATAGATGGGAGACGACAGAGAGGAAACAAAACATCTAGAGTAAAAAGAAACGAGAGACCTAGCACAAGAATGGTTGACATATTATTTTTAATATTTCGTGCTGTTGAGATTGGACTTTTAATAAAAACCGTTCCAATTCAGATCACTCCAGGAATGTAACCCTCGGATATGTCGCACGAATCTTCTACATTTTTCACTGATCAATGATGAGCAAAATGTTGACATTACCCCAAGTCACCGCTCCATTACCCTAGACTAGTTGAAAAATAGCTAAAATACTCTACAAGTAGGGTAACTACCTGACAGTTGGTCGCCCTACAGCTGAGACACAGTTATCCAAGACCATACATCTTGCACTTAATCTTGGGCATTTATTTATTAACATATTGACTTGTTTAGATATATAGACACACATATGCACACATTCACCTTTTTACAGGAAGCAACAGCCACCACAGCTTCTCAATGAAGTGAGAATACTGGAGGGCCTGTCAAAGAAAGATCCATTGATGCTCACCTTTGATGCAACTGATCTCAGTTGTTGGGGGCCACCATAGCACTTGATTGTGCATGTCGCATACACTTTGTTCAGCACTCGTACAACTTTACGAGGATGGAACTCCAGGAAGCACAACAATGTGAGGATATCTTAAATGTAGGGGTAAAAAATAAATGTGCAAGTGGCAATATTACTGGACAGTGGAGACACAATTATCTATGAGCACACCAAAGAAGTGAAGAAGAAAGAAGGAGGACTTACTCTCCTCTTTCAAGTCCAATTCTTCTACAGTCGCTTCAATTGGAATAGCAATCTCATACATGGAATTTTGATTCAGCATGGCAGCCTAAAAATGGTGCACAAGTTTTAATAATTGAAAGACATCACATAGAATAATCAAGTAGGGATAACTGTGTACGTACAGTGTTATCCTCAGTTTTTCTCCTCTTCACAAGAGGTGCAAAAACTTTCTTAAGGAGCTTTCTAATAACGTGCCGATCCACTGAGTTTGCATATATGTGCCGCTTCAACTCATTTTGGTCTTTGTTCTGGAAGGGAAGAAGATGAACCATCAAGGCCCAAAGTAACTTACTTACCATCACCATTTGGACCCACCACCTTTACTCAAAACACCACGTGATATAACAAAAAAAAAGTGACGAGGGCTGAATCTATTCTGATGTACTAGTTGGCAATTAATGATGGTTTCCAGATACAGTTTTTATAGATATTGCATCTCTACCCCCAAAATAAGTTCCAAGTACAGCACAACTACTGCCCTGCTGCGGTAGTCTAGTGGCTAAGGTACTTGGCTGATGATCCGCAGGTCGTGGGATCGAATCCTGGCTGCGGCGGCTGCATTTCCGGTGGAGGCGGAAATGTTGCAGGCCCGTGTGCTCAGATTTGGGTGCGCGTTAAAGAACCCCCGGTGATCAAAATTTCCGGAGCCCTCCACTACGACGTCTCTAATAATCATATAGTGGTTTTGGGACGTTAAACCCAACATATCAATCAAATCACAACTACTGGCCACAGACGCCTGAATAAAGAATATATCAGTAGTTCTAGAGTTACAGCCACTTACGATCATCAAAATTTGCGACATATGAAGTGTAGCATGTACAACACATGCTTATTAATCTGGCATCATTTACAGATTTGTAGAATTTCTTTGCATTATGAATTGATTCCTCCTTGCAGGGTTCATACAGGTTTCAACGGAAAAAATTTAAGGATATTGAAGAAATATCAAGGCGCTGTCACAGGTTTCTCAAGGACTAAAAATGACATTAAAACGCAATTTTTTTTATAACAATGTTTCAAATTCTGACTAAATTTATTGCACTTATAGATATCAGTACAGTTGAAACCCAATTTAACAAAGTCGTCACTACGCCCAAAATCCACAAAGGGGCTTTTCAGAACTTTGCAAGCTGAAATTTTAAGAAGGAGACACCCAAAATCTACCATGGTAGTGTTTTTACTGCTAACCCATGCATGCTTGTGTGGAAAGTATGTTCAGGTGTACTGCACATTGGGCCTCGCAGACAGTCACGTAAAATATGACAAGTAGTGGTAACGCAAAGACGGGGTGACAATCAGTGTTACCCATCACATAAATCATGAGAGAACAAAAACACATAGCACTGTTCCTGTGGGAGCATTGACAGGAACAATAACAGTATCATCTGGTAGGTAACAGTGAGAGTGTTGAGTGCACTGTTCTGTGCATGTGGGTGGCGTATAGCCTAGTCAAAATAAAATCGGGCCTGTGACTGTGGGTGACAGATGTTTCAACACAATAGTGTTGGGGCCCATGCTTGAAGAAAAAAGCCATCTGTGCAAAAAGTAGAAAAAAATTAGTGCTTCTTTTTACTAATTTATTTCAGAAAAGCATTGTTAAATTGGTTTTAGTTCAAAGAGTTATTTATATTAATTTAAGTTGACAACAATGTCAACTCTTATGAGTACCTTCAAGGGGATGCACATTTGTTCCTTGGAGTGGGAACTAGGTTAAGTCTGGCTTCGTTAAGTCAAGTTTTAACAGTGTTATATACAGTAGACAAGGTAGCCTTGATGTCATCTCAAGAAGTTTCCAGCACACAAAAAAGTTCAGGACAGGTGCTGAGACCTCTTTAGTATATTAACAAGGCTTGACACTGTTACAGTGTACTAACCACATGATCCAACTGCTTGAGAGGGAAAAAAGCAGCATAAATGCAGGAAGTAAGAGTGAAGTCATAAGGAGATAAGTACAGAGAAAGAAAGCGATGCAAGATGACATAACAGGTGAGGAGTGAAATGAATGATAGGACAAGGCATGAAGAAGCAGAATACATGCAAACTTGTACAGTGTATTGTTTGCCTAATCGATGCTAATCCATCACAAAAAGCAGGTCATACTGTAGACTTTATACTGCAGTGGCCCCAAAATTAAGAAGTTTTCAAGGACAGAGTAATTCCAGGACCTTCAAGAGCATTAAAAATTGACTTTTCGAATGCAAGGTTTTCAAGGAGCAGTACAAATCTTGTCATTGTGCTTATGTGCACTGTGGAGACAACTCGCTAATTAGAAATGTGCAAGACCATTATATGCCAAATATACCAACCTCAGGCTCCAAAAATAGGTGACAGTGTGACGTGAGACCATCCCGTCCAGCCCGTCCTGCTTCCTGAACATAGTTCTCAAAGCTCTTTGGCATGTTATAATGAATAATTGCTCTGATGTCGGCCTTGTCAATCCCCATACCAAATGCAACAGTTGCTACAACAACACGGAGCTTACCTGCAAACAAAGCACACAAGGAGCGGTTTTATTTTTTTGCTTTAGTGAAATTTCATGTGCAACGGATTGTGATGACATTCATACCAGTCATAAACTTTTTCTGAACTGAGCGCCGCCTGAATGGTGTCATTCCAGCATGATATGCCTCTGCATCCCAAGCCAGATAGGACCGTCGACCTTTAGCAGCTGCAATAAAGCATTGAAAAATCTATTCTTTGGCAGAAACACCATATGATATTAATTATCACAACATGTATAATGTGTCTTATTTTGTTGCTTACCCTTTGAACTGTTTTCTCTATCAGTTTGCTTCTCAACATGCTGCAGACTGGTGCGAATTAATGATGCTAACCGTTCTGTCTCCTCCCTTCGTGTGCAGTAAATTATGACACTTTCGCAGCTGCCAAACCTGTTTCCCTTTAGAAGCTCTATAAGAGCCTGCATACAGGTTGAAGAATAAAATGAAGAATGTTAGAAAAATGTTAGAGATGGGCAATTTACATTTTATCAGCCTTTCTGATGCACATGTCTATTCTTGGAACCCAAGAAACCTGAGTTAGATGTTAACGAGGTGCTAGAAGAAAATATTAGGTTAAGCTGCATTAGTAAATTATACTTTTGCAATAGCAACCCTTTTAAGGTGAGAAGAGGCTTGCTAAGATATAAAAACCACAAAAATGATGCAGATGGCCCTCACACATTAACGTGGAGAATTTTTTCTGTGCATACAAGATTCTAGTTAACTGCTAATGACTAGAGGACTGCATTGCATTGAACCAAAGACAACCTGAAAACTTTTACATGTGCTACTCAAGTTTTGCAATATACTAAGAAATTCCCCATGCCACGCTGATGTTGCAATGCTAAGGTGTAGCGTAAAATAAAAAAAACAAAAAAGTGGTCGTTTTTTATTAAATGAGACTAATTTTTTTAAAAATGCCTGACAAGTCTAAACTAACTGAGGGACACTCTTTAGTACATACCTTTTAAAAAGTACTGACGATATATTCTGTCTAGTATACTCCTTTTGAGTATTAGATGAATCTTCAGGACTTCAAAACTATATTAAAAATCTGTGACAAAAGCTCACAATTCTCTAAATAATTAAACATCCAAGTCAACGTCTGAGCGCAACTAGCGTTTCAAAAGCTAGTTGCTGTTTTGCTACCTGGATGTTACATGTCGTGAAGCCATGCGGCATACAGTGGTGACATGACAGCAGCCCTTAGGGACATTTTGATGCTCAATGACCAAGTGAGCCTGAACAAGTGTGAAAGTGATGTAATGTCGTGCTCTCACATGACTGTTTTAAAAGAAGCTTTTTTAAAGCTATTTTCTAGTGTTTTATGAGCAGAAACTAATATAGCATTATGAAGCACAATGTAGTAGGACGACTCTGGATTATTCTTGACCACCTGAAATTCTCCACCACATAAATCTAGGTACACGGGTCTTTTTGCATTTTTACACCGTTTAAATGCAGCTGCCACGACCGAGAATTGAAACCGCACCATCCTGCTTAGCAGTGCAACACCACAGCCGCTAGGCCATCACGGTGGGTTGTGAACGCCTAAATCATAGTGCCATGACACAGTAAACTTTTTAGAAATGAGACTAAAACTAGGTGTAAAAAGATACACTAATAAATTATTCAAGACATTCTGAGGCTTGCCAATACTTTTTCTCAAGTCTAAAACAAAAAAATGGGGGGGGGGGGGGGGGAGGATATCATGCCAGTAGTCCTTTATGGCGAGGTTTATAATTAGAATGCTGGTGTATTGTGATACTTCTTTAATAAAAAAAAAAAAACGGCTACTCTGTAACGTATGACAACAGTAGTCTTATACATGAAGGTGTGGTAAACACTAGGTACGTTTATTTTTATCCAATTTGTAAAAACATGTCAAAATATAGCGAAAGAAAATGTATAAATACCTCATCACGGTATTTGTCTTCTGAAACTGACAAAATTAGGTTCTCCGGCACAGACGGTGTCCCAATAACCCCAGCAGACATGTTGTCAATCTGCAAGTGTTCTGCTATGCTCAGACATGTGCTCCTAGTTGCAGTTGCTGTCAGAGCAAGGATGCAGCGGACCTTTAGCTGCATTGTGAGGACCTATAAAAATTTTCTCAATTGAAGTCACAAAGCTTCTATAGTACAACATTTTACGGTGGCTCAAGTAAATGGAGCACTACACTGGCTATCGAAAAAAATCTCTGGCACACGTTCAGTAATAATACACTCGGGATGGCATTGTTGCTGTTTTCTAGTTTTACTAGTGCCTTTTTCGTAGAATGTAGCTTCGACATTAAAGGGGCCCTGTGATACTTTTTGAGCATGGTCAGAAAACGCTGCCGCTCGGTAGTAGAAGCTCCCGAAAATATGTGAGCCAAATATTTCAGCGCAGCACACTGTCTGCAATTAACGATAAACTATCAAAATCAGCTGAAAATTGCTTTCTCTTCTTTTGACAAACGACAGAAGAAACTCAAAAAATCACTTTAGAAGGCCATTTATCAGCCATTGACTGATTTGAACATGGCATGCTCGCTTGTTACAGGAATCGCCGCGGGAGGCCGCGACTTGTCCACCCGTGCATGCGTGATCAGGCTGAAAAAGCCGTGAATTAGAAAAAAAAAAAAAGAAAAAGTGCTCAAGGTCACAAGATGCGCGTGACGTATTTTCTTTGCCCCATGTCATCCCTTCCTGCTTCGTTTCCAGCGCTTTCGTGGGGACAAGAGAAGGGAGAATGCTATTGCAGCCTGTGGCAAGTCATTGCAACTCCGCTCGTACCGGACAAATTCTTAAAAGTTTTGCGCCGTTGAATTCGTGAGGCAATAAGCTCTTTTAGTGAATCCGTTCTATGATTACTTGAAAAGGTGTTTCAGGGCCCCTTTAAGATGACAGGTATATCCACGTTTGTTGTTATGAACGTATACAGCAAAATCTTCTGTCCAAGCTCTTAAAGGAACACTATAGAGAAAAGACAATGTTTGTCTCATTAGTAAGTTACCTTTTCACAATACCAAAGGCACCACTCTTATCGTGAAAAGATGCGTGGTTGGTAAGCGAGAACACATGCAACATCCTAAGTTTTGATGTTGTCTGCTAGGGGCAACATAATATTTTTTCGATAAAATTTACAAGCCATTATAATGGAGTTAGATACCATCAAGTTGCAAGTAATTGCACTGAGCCACTGTGAGCAGATATTTGTGTACTACTAGTCCTGTGTCCTTTTTTCATTAGTACTTGGCGCATTTTGCTCAGATGCAACTACATTAGAATGAGGTCACAACTAGCCCTAGTTGAAGCTCTAAAAAATACATTAATCTGCAATGTCACACTGACACTAAGGTGCTGAAGTTCCTGTCTGAAATTCTTCTAATGATGGCCCTATGATTGTCAAATTGGCAATAACATAGTTCTCAGAGACTAATTTATCAGCCTATGACTCATTTAGCATTTCATTTTAGTGTGCCTTTAACTTAAACAATTAAGGTACTTGCTCACACTCTTAGCTCCAGTACATTGATCTTGAAAATTGCACAATGATGGCATCACATAAAAGTTATTGAATGATTGAGTAGTGGGGTTTTATGGCGCGAAGGCCATGTTTTTCACATGTTGTGAACGATGAACAATAATTACGATTACAGTATGTATTATGGATATAGAGCGGCTTAAAATCATGCGCTATAGAGGAGCATGACAGCTGTATATAGAGAACCATCACAAAATAAGTCACTTATATAATTATTAAACTTAACAAATAAAAGTGTGGGGTCTAATGACCCAAGGCAATGCACAGGCTTTCAGTGGTGCCATTTTAGCAGTTTTTATATTACTTTAGGGCACACCATATTTCTTAATATAAGCACCTAAATATTAGTACACAAGCATTTCTGCATTTTGACCATAGTATTCGTATGCATGTGCATGGGTTGTGGCTTTAACTAACAACCTTACATTCAGAAGCAGAAAACTATATATCCATTGAGCTTTATGGTCAATCACGGCAGGTGATAGCCTTGTGTTCAGAAGCAGAAAGCTATATAGCTATTGAGCATTACAGTCAGTCACTACAGGTGAGATTGAGACTCATACTGTTGCAATGTGAATAGGTGTAAGTGCCGACATTTCCAAAAGGTTTCCGAGACAAAAAGCAGTTTTGCAATGAAGTACTTGTAGTTAACAAGTTAAACACATTCAAAGGCCAGCCATAGCCTCTAAAACATGGCACCTTGAGAGAGCAAAAGATACCTAATTTACTAAACTTATTAAAAGCTATGTTTAGACAATAATCACAAATTATTATTCGTATGCATGTCCTTTGAAGAGTGAAGAATACCATGCTGACAAATATAAAATAAGCACTGATACTGCTTGTCAGAGAAGTTATAACAGCTATGAGTGGTAGAAAAGAACTGAGCCTAGGCTCATTAAACTGACTGCTAAAGGCATTGGTACTTTCACAACACAGATGCCAGCGATATGCAATAGCAATATCCTTTTCCTGAAAAGGTTTTAGAGTCTGCAAATATGATTTTGGGTACTTTAATTTGCTTGATGCTTTCTCCAATATTTACATGTAGGAGCACCAAATACTATATATCAGCTGTCACCACATGTGCATGATGGTAGTGTGTACTACAATAAAATCAATCAAAACAATAACAAAAGTTTAAGCTTCTGATCTTATATCACAGTGTTACCAAAAAACTAGAAGCAAACAAAAGCAACCAAAAATTTATGCAGCGCTAAGTATCAAATACAAGATGCCATGCCATTATGGCAATATATCAAAATGTTTGTTTTTAGACAGTTCTATATGTATGTTTTTTGACTATGTAACAGTGTTCCTTATTAAGTGATTCTACTGTATTAATAAATTGCCCTTAAGTGATAATAAACAGTACCACTGTGCTCTGTTACAAGTCAAAAGCAGTGCAGCTTTTCGCCATCAAAGGACCCCCTTCGAGCCAATGGTGTCGCTGTGTCATCGTGACATCGCAGCCAAACGCCTTCGCATTGCATAATAAAAGGAATAAAGAAGCATGTTCTTTCGCGCTTACAAACCCTAACCAAAATGGCCACCTCTGCTGTTTGCGACAATCCATTGGCGTCATTGGTGAGATCATACTCTCGCAAGCTGACTAGATGCCATTCATTTGCATCCCAATTTGAATTTCCCGAAAAAGCTTGTTTGTGTGTTGTGTGCACTGTTTAGTAATGAAAATTGCTGTGGTGTTTTGTCTGTTGCGTAAGTGCTCGGCGCTGCCTGGAAACAGCCACCAATACTTGTGACCTTGATTGGCACTTCAATAATCTGTGTGATACAAAGCAGTTGTCGTCATTCGTTGCAGGTGCTTTGTCTTGAGTGTGAAGCGTTGTGCATTTTGCAGTTTTGTCTGTCCTCGGTCTGTGGTGTATGTTGCTTCACAGACCTGTAGTCACAACAGTGACTACAGCAGGTGACAATAACTGCTCGTTTATTTCATTATCTATTATGCCAATAAGCAGTCAGATATACAGCTGCAATTCACTACTCCAGCAGACCAATAAACTTTTTCATGTGTTGCATTCTAAATAGGAAATGATAAATATTGAACTAAAGTTTCATCTTCAGACAAAAAGAAGGTTTCCAGAGGAACTACCACTTTACAGCTCAGATCCACTTATAGCAGCTTGGATCCAAGAGCTGCTTGTAGGTGCAAAGCAGTTGGCCACGACACCACATTGACACAGACACCACTGGCTAAAGAAAGTTCTTTTGACACTTCTCTCAACTTGTACCTGAGAATAGTACCGAAAAAGGACACTTGGTGTGCTAGAAACAATGCAAAAGGTGAAAGATGGGTAACACTGCCACCTTGAAGTTCTACGCTAGCTTGCTATGATGTTATATATATCACTTTAGGGCTTATATACTAACTACACTCAAACCTCGATATAAAGAACCAAGATATATTGAACTAAATGAAAATTAGTCTTGCAATAGATATAGTGTTGAGAATATACCTTTACAATGATTTTTCGGATGTAACAAACTAATTTTCGTGTAAGATGCAGAAGATGCAGCTTTGTAATATATTGAGGTGTTTGAGTGTACATATGTTGTGCTCTAATGAAGTCAAATGACTTAGCAAGACTGTAAATTAATACTTTGCCAAAATGGCCAAATGTGATAACATACACAACCTTGCACATACTAACAAAGCATGGCAGTTTGTATGTACAAGAGACATATGGTGATCACTCCTGGAGTTGGGGCTAGATGCCATGGTAGCCATTACTTTCTGTTTGCCTACTGATAGCGCGACAAAATATGCAGTCCATTTGGCTACTATCCATTGTTTGAAGTGGTACAGGACAAAGCTGCTTTTCCATGTGCTCTTAATTAAGCACGTAGCCAAAGCACTTGAACACTTGTTTGAAAAACTTGTAATCCAACCAGGTAGTGCATGTAGAAAACATTGTGCTATGCACATTACATGGTTACAGGAAATTTCCCCACAAGCCAGCTTAAGACCTCTGTGCTTGCACTAAGCTGGCATGCCTGCACACGTGGACATTCAGACACACGCTCACTCCCACCTACAGGCATACATCTGTCTTGGACTTAAGTGAAGGCAAACTTTGCAAATGCTGCTTGGTGTGAACAACCAGTACGACATGCCCTTCAGAGTGTTATAGTTGAAATACAAAAGTAGCCAGTCAAAAAATAAAATTACATAAATAAAGTAAAGCCCAGTTGGCATTAGAAACTTCACACTCGCCTTGTAAAGTTGCAAATATGAAGGGCGGAAGTTGTGCGACCACTCGGAAAGGCAATGTGCCTCATCAATGCAGGCAAAAGCCACTGAAGGCAGCTGGTGCACAATGCTACTTCCTTCCACAAGGCTTTCAGGAGAGACAAGCAAGAAGTGAATGCTTCCTTCTCGAATTTGCGCCAGCACTTTCTCCTTCTGGGCCAATGGCATAGCACTGTGCAGGAATGATGCTTTTAAGCATGGAGCCAACCGTGCCACCTAAAAGTATAATTCATCCAATTCAGTGATTAATATGCAGCGTCAAAGCAGTTAAAGTATCCCAGAATGCCTTAGAAGACAGAAAATGCACAAATAAAATACAATACTACAGCATAGAATAAAATAAACTTTAGTCAGGGGTGCAACTGCCAAAATATAATTTGGGAGCAATTTTTGGAGCAGCAAAATGTTACTTTTGGAGCATTAAAACCCAAATTTGCACATTTGGAGCAGGTAAGGAAAAAAGGACATTCATTTTCTATCATGAAAGATCAAATTTGGAGCAGTATAAAACAGAAGGCTTAAATTTAAAAAAAAAAAAAAAAACGATATGTACAAGCCATTCCACTTCACTTAAATCATGCAGAGTGAACATGAACACTGCTTTTACAAAGAAAGTAGTGTTTTGAACCACCCCACTAAGCAAACAATGAAATCCACATTAGCGTTTGCCGCACCCCTCAAGTCCTTTGACAGAATGCAGATTCAAATGTGGCTTTGCCAAGCTGGCAATCGTAAAGTTCGGGAGAATCGTAAAACTGAGGAGTAGGGATGGCGAAAAATTTTTCTGAAATACAATTTTTTCAGGGTAGCACAAATGTCATTCAGGGCTCAAAACGATTGCCAGTACCATTTCTAAAACGTCAGCGATCATAGTACTAGCACTCTTAATTATGCAGCGCATACATGCATAAACAATTCAACAAAATGCGCTGTGTCCCAAGACCAGTGCTAACAGCCCATCCAAATTATAACATGCTTATCCACAGGGCACAGGTGTACAGTGGCGAAGGTCGCATCGCGTTCTGCGCGGGTTAGAACAAGGCCAAAAGCCGCCTGCATTTTCCCACGAGGAAAACTTGAGTAAATGCGTCGCAGAGTAGTGGAGGTAACACACGAATGTTATGTAATTGGATATGGTTTGGGAATGCTTAATAGTTATTTCGTCTTTATTATTCTTATTAATTGAATGAAGGAGAAGCGTTTCCTTCAACAAATAGTGGGACGCTGATGTAGGGTTGTGCCCCACTACCAATTGAATGTACTGTTGCTTCCATCGCATCTATTTGAGTCATGCAAAACGTCAAATTTAGCGAAAGCCAAGTAATGACACTCTTGACTGAATTCCAAACACGCGATCGAGTGTCTACAGGCCAGTCAACAACTGTGCAGCGCGAGGAGTCGTGTTTTACTAGCAGACACTGCCTGCGTCAGTCTTGCAAGGCGAGAGACGGGGAGGGGGGGGTGTCGACGACATCGTCGATGCCGGATTTGTGAGTAAGTGCAACAACAAAATGCTCAGCATCAAAAAAAAAATTTCGAACAGCACCTCCTCCTCCCCCAGCCCACTCTGCTTTTTTTTTTCTTTCACGGTGGCAGTTGAGTTGAGGCATAACTTTTCGGCTCGCTCGCAAGGCGTGTTCGACGAGGTAAAGTAACAACAGCACGTGCCCATTGGCTTGGCGAAGGCACTGGATATCTATCAGTGGGACAACGCACCTTCAAGACAGAAAATTGTTCTATGTGCCGTTGCTTACGAAGCAAGAATTCTTGAGGAGGCGAAACTGCCCTCGATCGGGCTCCCTGAAAACATCACGAAACCGGGCACGGTACTTACGAGCCCTCTGTCGTGAAACTCCGCTAGCGGAGGAGAAGAATGCCCGCGCCACTCTCACCACGCTCACATTCAAGGTCATTCCGCTCCGATTTGACGTTCGCGCTTCACGTTCAACTGGGTGTGTTTGTGTGCGTCTTCACTGGCTGCAAATTTTGACACGACAGCATTATAAAGCTCAAGCTCATTTTGCAGAAAGGCTGGCGCGATTGGTTTTGAAAGAAAAATCAGCGTTGTTCATGACCGTGAAATTGAGAAAGGTGTAAATGTCCTATGCATTCGCCGTGGCATGCCACTGTTCGATTAACAACACTGTTGGAAACTGCTTCGAAAAAAGAATGCATGAATGTCATGCAGTGTCATGTAACATGACAACCGAAAGAGACCCATGCACATGCTGAACTTTCAATTGATTTTTAACGTACAGATTAGGTTGCATGAACACAGTTTTCTAAATCTTATTCACAATCTTTGTGCAATGAGAAGAAACAACAACAAAAAACATGTTACACTTATCGAAACCATTCTTTCTTAAAAGACAGCCTTTTGATAGCTTTAACAGCTTCTTCTCATAAGCACCTTTCTGCTAGTTTCGTGCTTCGTTTGCGCAGTGTAGTCTTATGCGCATTTCCACGCAGTAGTGAAGAATTTTGGTGACGTCATTTTCGTGTTTGCAGCATGGAAACGTGAGGTTGAAGTTTTGAAGAACATGATCAACAGTTCCCCAAAAAACGTTGTTACGGTCCATGTTCTTGGAGAAGAAATCTTCTGCACAGCGAATCATCCCGTAAACCCGCGTGTTTGGATGAGCTAACCCACCTCTTGATTTGCAGGTTGTCAGAGATGCTAGTAGGAACGTTGGTGTCGCAGCAGAAAGTGACTTTCTGCAGAGTTCACACTGCAGCATCGTTTTCTTCTTTCTTGACAGAAATCCTGTGATGTATTACAAGACCATGTCGATAACTTCAGAGCTTGTTTGGCTATCCTAGACAGCATCATCCAAGTCCAAATCATCTGTTTGACAAGTTCGTCTAACTTGGCCTTTAGCTGTTCAAAGTGCGAGGGGTCACTGTCAGCTTTCTGGAAGTTCTTGCGAAACTCTGAAAGGTCGAAGGCACGCTTTTCTTCAATAACTTCCCAGTTTTCAATACCTACACAATAACTTCGCAGGACAGTGCGGAAAGATAGAAGGCACAGCGTCCAGTAACAACTCTGGTCATTTCGGTTTGTCAAGGAGAACTTTACCACCAAGCTCGCCATAATAGCGCTGTCAGTCAATGTCACTGTCCGAGAAGTGCTTCTCACAGACGTAGTCATGAGGTGTCAGCGCGCGATCTTTCCTTGGTATGGCACGAGCCCACACTTCCAACTTCACCGGGTCACTAGGAGCTTTTAAGGTAATTACCTTCTCCTTGCAGGATGCGTAACCACTGATGCAATTCAGTACAACACATTTCCACCCCATCCTGAAGAAGCATTTCTCTAATTCGGCAAAGCGCTATTCCCTGCCGCGGTGTGAAACCGCGAAAAGCGCACGCAAATGGTCAGCACTGCCGACGCAACTGAAGCCACTGAGCACTAAAAAAAAAAAAAAAAAAAAAAGAAAGCCGTGACAGCTTAGAGGAACTTTCCCTCTCAAGGCCACCCACGCATACGCACCAACGCAACCAACGAGACGCTATGTGGGCGTCTGCAGTGCACCCACAACGTGCGAGCGAGCAGCGATAAGTGCGTGCATGCGGCAGACGTCGTCTGCTCCAGGCCCTTCCTAGCAGCTCGTTTCAGGCGCTCTGCGACAGTAATTCTGGCAATATCAGTTTGTAACTGCTGCTGAGACATTTGTCACACCTAATTATTCATGTCAAACGCAAAAATTTCAAAAATTTTGCAGTGTACGAGGCGCTATCCCGATTTTTATGCAAGGCGTTCATAAAAGCACATGTAAAAGATGGCAACAGGCCGAAAGCATCATCTGCCGAGCATTGGCATAAACCACATCGCTCCGTGACACCATAGCGCCGCCCCCGCCCGCTAGCGCGACCTGGGAGTTTCTCATTCTAAAATACTTCTTTCTTCGCAGCCGTTGCTGTGGCAACAAAAGTGGTGGCTAACAACGCCGGCGTTCCCAGTATTTCGAGCTTGTTCGCGTGCGGAGAACGCGGAATACGCTTTAATTCCTAACATGCCATTGCCACGTGTGCTGAGAAGGAAATTCATATCTCCCGCAAAGGGTTGGAAACTACGGCCACCCATGTTTGTGTTGAAGTTACGGCATCTCGCCGATAGATATCTGCTGCGGTCAGTAAACTGATGGGCCCGCAGCATTCTTACTTTATCTGGTCGATCGCGTCTTGCAGGTGTCCTCACCTAACTAGTATATATCTTACATCGTGTTTTAGGATTAGCGTTTGTGTGCTTGGATTGATGATGCAAGCTGCAGGTGGCCAACGTGATCTCCGTTTCTCCCTCAAATTAGCGCACCTAAGGCTACTCGGGCATTTCGGCGCAGCGTGGCGCAATTTAAACAAATTTCATGGCTTTAGTGCAGCTTGGCCCAACAATGGAGAATTGTATCAAGTTGGCGCAATTGGCGCAGCTGTTGCACCCCTGTATAATTGACAGACAAAAGAGCCAGGGAAATGTAGGGAACATTATTTGTAGTAACCACGACACAAATGTCAAGAAAGTAAAGGGCATGAAAAAATAACTTGCCGCCGGCAGAAACTGCACCTTCAAACTTTGGAGTATGCGCCTGATGCTTTAACAAATTAAGCTACAGCGGTGGTCATCAACTTTTCTACTTCCTGTGTGCCATAGATATATGTGCATTTAAATTTTCGAGTCTTAGTCAGCCATGCTAGTAGCCATGACAGTGAAAACAGAACACACTTTTTTTTTGTCTGCAGACGTCACACTGCACATGATCTTTTTATGACCTGGCAGCTGCCTAATAAAAAGCATGGTATCTCATTGGTCAAAGATTGTCAGGACCCCTTTCAAGGGTTCTTGACACGGTCTCCCAAGAATTTACGGTTTTTAGCGAAAAATAAAAGTAAAGGGTCTACTCTGGCTACACACATATGAAAAATGAACTGTAAAAGAATATTTCAGTAAAAAATAAACCCTACTAGTTGCTGACTACAAACCCCACCCACCACAAGAAACCACCTTTTTGTCACTGCATGTGCAAAATCATGCACAGAGCAGAGCTTGTCTCTCCTATCGAAATTCCAGCTGCTGCAACTTGTTCAATTTTAATGCCAGGCTGAACAAATCTGAAATCGCTTGACTGCGCGCACGGCTGAACATGGAACACAATTTTTCACTAGAATGCAGAATTACAGAGACCAAGAAGCTTATTACGTCATGGCTCACGCTAGTGCCA